CTGTCTCTCTCTCTGTCAAATAAATAAATAAAATCTTTTAAAAAAAATAAAATTTATTTTAAATTCTGTAATCTAGGGCACCTGGGTGGCTCAGTCGTTAAGCGTCTGCCTTCGGCTCAGGTCATGATCCCAGGGACCTGGGATCGAGTCCCACATCAGGCTCCCTGCTCGTCAGGAAGCCTGCTTCTCCCTCTCCCACTCCGCCTGCTTGTGTTCCTGTTCTCGCTATCTCTCTCTCTGTCAAATAAATAAATAAAATCTTTTTTAAAAAAATTCTGTAATCTAAAACATTATTATAGGAATATTCTGGATTGTCTGGAAGACCAACTTATCACAGAGCATTGCTCCCTGATTTTGGTACGCAAGAGTGTGTGTGTTACCCAGAGGCCCTCTAATGAAAACAGGACTCTCTGGGGACTCTGTAGGCTTGTGAGGAGCCTATAGGGGGCGTCTGTGTGTTGCTCATTTTGAGAAATTTCTGGCCCGTAAAGGGCTGTCCGATGCGTTTAAGAGCTGACAGGTGTGGCTGGATTTGGGTCCAGGTCAGCACTCAGCAGCTATGGTCACACATTGATTTCTCAGAACCTTCACTGCTCCTGCTCAGTACTGGCACTTCAGCATTGGGCACCATCGTACAGGCCTGGAGAGGCTGTTACGTCTCACAGATTCCTCCAGGGCCTGATAAGCCCCATGTGATCTGCTCTTGGCCTTGTTCTCACACACACTAAGCCTGGCCCTTCTTGGAGCCTTGGCACTGGTTGCTCTTTCCGCATGGAAGTCTTCCCTTAGGCCCGCTGCGCGTACACCATCTGCTCTGGGTTTCTCCGAGGCTGTGCTGGCTGCGTTGGTGGGAATCCCACCTCCCACCCTTGGTGTTCTCTCTGAACTGAGGACAGTAGTTATACCTGCTGCATAAGGTTGCTGTGGAAATTAGATGAGATGATGAGATAATGTGCAGAAAGCACAGAGAGTGGCGCCCGGCACTCAGTCAACACTCAGTAAAACTTTGCTGTTGTCACTTTCACCATACATAGTTATTCACAGAAAAGATCTGGAAGGAGATGCAGCCAACTCTTAACATCGGAAATGGGAGGCAGGTGGAAAGTGTTCATTTTTTACTCTATATGCTTTGCTGGAATTTCTTTTCTATGAGTATATATCGCTTAGGTTATTTTAAACTAACCAGTAAATGTTTCTTACATATCTAGGTTTCTGATCATGTAACCCACTGTTGAAAAAACTGGATTTCAGCCCTTCTTGACAATTCTGACATTTTTGGGTCTGTTCCCCACTGGAGGTGTATAGTTTTGATCCCCACTGTAAAGCAGTACCTTCTGCCACACCTACTCCATTGTTTTCTTTCCAGTTCCCAGGCTTGCCTTATGGTTAGATATGTTTCCCAACTTTTTATTATGAAACTGAAAAATATACAAAGCAATTGGAAGAATTGAATAATGGACATCCATTTACCAATGTCCTAGATAAAACAGTGACTATTTTGACATGTCTGCTTAATTCCGTGTGCGCGCGTACCCTGCAGGTGTGTCCTGAGGTATTTGAAGGTGAGTTGTAGAGAGAGTCACCACACTTCAGCCCTGGGCACTGGAGCTCGGTCTCCTAAATGGTGTGTGTTGGGGGGTGTCTCCGCGCTGCTCAGCACCGCTGTTACATCTGGGAAAATCAGTCCTTCTATCTTATATCAGACATCCAGTCCCAGTCAGATTTCTCCATGACTTCTTTGATAGCTTTTTTAAAATCTAGGATCCATTCCTACACTGCATTTGGTTGTTATGTTTCTTTGGACTCCTTCATCTATTTTAGGCTTCTTTTCTCTGACCTTGATCTTCTTAGGGGAGAGCAGGTCAGTTGTCTTATAACCCTTTCCTTTACCCTTTGCCTGCCCTGTCTTGGGGACAGACAAGACCCTTTCATCATCTGGCCATTCTCTGAAACCTCCTTACTCCTTTCTGTCTCTCCTGAAGCATAGCAATGTGTCCCTGCACACAGTCCTAACCAGCCTGGCTACACCGTGTCTTTCTCTCCAGTTGCTTCAGAGCACTTCTGGGGACTTCTCTGATTCTACCATAGTCTTCCCTTCCTGGGGACCAGAGCCATCTCAGCTGGTATGATGGAGTCATCAGTGCAGGGAGAACCTATAGGGCATTTCCAAGCCCTAGTTCTTAGGAGGGAGGCAGGATGTTCTCAGGGTGAGGAGTAGTAGGATCACAAATTGAAGATAGATTTTGGACAGTCACTTTCTCTCACTGTTCCAAAACCATTTTGGACCTTTCAGTCACTTGGGACCTCTGATCTGATTGGGAGTGAAGCATTCTGAAAGCCTGACCATAACCACCAAAGGCAAGTTCTCCTTGTAGGGCACCAGATCCTCTTAGCCACATTGACCTTAAACACCAAGCAAGGCTGTGGTCTGGGAACCCTGTCATGCCTCCACCATCACTTGGGACCTTATCCTAGGGAGATCCACCACCTCAGAGACAGTCCCAGAGCTCCTTTTCGTCAGACCCACCATCTTTGGCCACTAGCAAGCTGGAAGCCCCTCATGTGTACCTTAGTGACAGTGTCCTTTCTACCTTGAGACAGTTCTGACCACTGCTGCCCTCCGCAGTGCTTCTCCACCTCCGCAGCACCTTCCCACAGGTCACCCAGCACCCCCCACCCTATATCGACCGACTCTCCCCAAGGGCACAGCACCCTAGTGGCTTTCGAGGAGAAGCTGCTCGCTTCTACACAGCATGTGGTCCAGCCCTAGCCCTGCACCTGTGCCCTCCCTGTGATTGTGGAAGCAACAGATCTATGGCAGAACTCCGGGAAGTATGGGTCAACGTTAAGGAAGAAACTAGAAACTCCTGCCAACCTGGCTACCCAGAAATAATCATTATTAATATGCGACTGGAGTTTTCCCCTCCTTTTCTATGCACATGTATTTACATACATATACCTTAAATCTGTACCATGCTATATACATTTTGCATTTTTTTCACTTGACGTAAGTTCTACCTGTGTCTCCAAATATTCTTAGCAAATACGATTTCTGATATATTGTAACTTATGTAAGTGCCCCATTCAGGTAAACATTTAGTGTTTTTCTCTTTATTGTTCTCTTCTATCAAATGTTGCAACATTTTTGTGCCTAAATCAGATTTTTTTTTTTTTTTTTTGGCTAGACCCCTAGAGATGGGATTTTAGGTGAAATGACGGGGCTATTTAGAATTTTTGATGCACTTTACCAGATTGCTTTCCAGGAAATAGTGTACCAGTTTACAGTCCTACCAGCCATGGGTGCAGGCACCCCTCTCGCTGTGTCCCACTCTCCCAGCAATGGTGTCATCATGTGCCCCACCTCTGTGTCCTTGGCCCTCATGACTGTTTGGATTGCAGAGACCTCTCACTGTAGCTTCATTATCACTGAAGGGGGCTCGACGTCCTCTGGGGGTTCTGTGAGGACTAACTTGTCCAGCAGGCGCTGTGCACAAATTTAACATTTTTGCACAACCTACGAGCCACTGCCTGCTTCACACTGGGCAGGACACCATCTGGAGCAAGGATGCAGGGACTTCAGCCTCTCACTTCTGCACCTAAGCAACTCTGCCTCTGCCTATTTTAAATCTTGGGATTCTGCCCAAGATGACTGTTGGAAAAGTTCTGCTGCCAGAAAAGATCTAAAAGCCATTTCTTCTCAACCCACGAGGTTTCTCACGCTCACCCTGTCTCTCCAGTCACAGCTGTTCATCTGAGCTCCAGCCTCCCCAGCCCTCCATGCCCTCCCCAGGCCCAGGCTTTGGGCCTGATTCTCCTGTGGCTGGACAGCCTGCTCTCTCTTCTTTGCCTGGCCAAGGGTTACTTGCATGGTAACACTGAGACCCATGACACCTCCTCCCGGAACCCTGCCATACTGTGATGATTTCCTCACCTGCCTCCAAACATGGCAGAAAGGCCTTTGTAGGAATGGGGCTTTTCACCTCCCAGGCATGGGGCCTGGTGCACATTAGCTATTCAATAAATGTTTGCTGAATGGGTATTTACCAGTGAATTGATCAAGAAATGTTGGTCACTGCTCAGTGTGTCTTTTCCAACCCAAAATGACTGACTGATTCTTGAAGAATGAATCTGGGGTTGATTTTACATCTGTAGGTTTTAGGGCTTGTGAGCAAATAACCTCCTTTTCTCCCTCTGTCCTCGGTGCATCAGCTCACCCGAAGGTTGCCTCCCATCAAAGAAGCCAAGCCTCGGTTGCAGAAGCTCTTCCGGGACTTCTGGCTCTATTCCGTGCTGATGGGATTTGCAGTGGAGGGCTCAGGTAAGGGGATATTCGCTCTCCTGGGGAAGACAGAGTGCAGAGTGAAAACAAAGGTGAGGCAGGACTCTACCTAATTATGAATGTGCATGCATTCAAAATTCGTCCAAATTCAGCTGCTGCTTCCTACAAGTGATTACAAATGTTACACTTCCCAGATGTAGTTTAGGGTTCTGACAGTGCTATGTATCTTAGGAAAAACCTGTCCGAGTTAGGAAACAGACTCATTTCTGTGCTCCGTTTGGGGGATAATTGGCTCAAACAAAGGACCCACGACTCTAGAAATGGTCAGCATCACCTGCCCCGCAGTGCTTCTGGAATAAGGTGGTGGTCTCATTCATGTGCACTTTCTTGAAGGACTCTGGCCAGAAGAATGGTACGAGGGAGTCTGTGAAATAGCCACCAAGTCGCCCCTGCTCACGTTTCCCAGCAAAGAACCACTGCGCTCCGTCCTCCAGTATAACTCGGCCATGAAAAACGACACAGTCACCCCCGTAAGGCTTCTCACCCTGCCAAGGACAGATGATGCAGGGCAGGGATTTTGCTAAGCTTTCTTGAACAATGACCAGATCCTTGCATTGTCCTTGTTATCACATGTTCTCCACGGCTCCTGGGGGGGGGGGGGGGCGGGCATTCCCCTCTGGGTGCCTGTGTGAGCCCTTGAGCATTTCTTTCCCCCAGGCTGAACTGAGTGAGCTCCGCAGCACCATCATCAACCTGCTGGACCCTGCTCCCGAAGTGTCCGCCCTCATCAACAAGCTGGACTTTGCCATGTCCACCTATCTCCTGTCCGTTTACCGGCTGGAATATATGAGGTATCCAGGCCTTTGCCTCCCAGCACAGCTACACTGGAGCTAATTTTTAAACTTTCTTGCCTTCTGGGCATGGGACTCTTTTTAGTTTCTCCCAAGACACGTACGCTTTCTTAAAAAGCAAAAACCAAAAAAACCAAAAATATCCTATGCTCTTCTTGTGTGCTCCTCCCTCCTGGGCACCAAACACCACATCTTATAAATCCCCAGGTATCTAAACTCTCATGTCATCCTCTCCTTATAGGGAATAGGCTTCTGAGCAGTCACCATAGATGTTGCAAACTCAGTCTACTTGACTGCGCAAGAGCCCCTGTTAGGAACCGGCCCTCACTGAGTATGTTCTAAGACATTCATTTTGCTAGTTTCCAGGACCACAGCTGAGTACAAACAGCAAATGGGAAGTGGGAAGGGGCCTGTCCCAAAACAGCCCCACAGGTGGCCCAACACTCAGGATGCATGTGTAACCACAGCAGACCTAACAGTTATAATAATCGTCATCATGACAACACCAATATTAACATGGACTGAGTGTTTATGCCATGCCGGGCACTGTGCTAAGTTACATGTATTGACACACTCTCCAACAAGCCTATGAGGTAGGCACTGTCACATACCCATTTTACAGATGAGGAAATGGAGACCCTGAGGCAGCCGTTCAGTTAGTTACCCAAGATAATAATCCCTGACTTCCACGGAGATCCAGATAGTCGGTTAAGCACCGTGCCATCCTGCCTCTCATAAATGACGGCTGGAAGAAGCAGCTAGGATGCTCAGAGCGCAGCTGCCTATGTGAATGCTACAGATCCACGATGGTAAGGCCTGAGACACCCTCGGGCTGCAGCTGAATACGCTAGCTACAGAATGATGCATCCCTGTCGTCAAAAAAGGTCAGGTTACACATCTCCTGTTTGTTGAAATCACAGGATAGGTGCAATAAGTTATAGAGAAACTCTACCAAATGGTCCAAAAAAGAAAGTGTTAGTTCTTAATAGGGGGAATATTTGGTAAATGCCACTATTTTAACCTTTATTTGGTGCCATGAAACCCTGTGGTAAAAGAACTCTTGCTCAGAAGCTCAACATATAAAATAGATTAAGGCTGTTTTGTGTAAGTGGGAGTGAGCGCACACCTTCCTGCCCTGTCCCCTCCTCCCTGCCTCTTGGTAGCCTGAGGGTGCCACAACAGAGCAGAGTTTGAGAGCTAGTGACCCATTCTCCTCCAGAGTCCCACAGAGCCAAGGAACTTTTGACCTTCCTTGCTTTTTTCATTATAATTTTTTTTATAAAAGCAATACAAGAATATTACACATAAACCTGGAAATAAATGGAGAGGAAAAACCACTGATCCCACCACCATTCCCTATTGTGTGTTAGTACTGTTCCCTCTCAGCCTTTTTATAAAAAACATACTTTGAAAGAGAAACCAACCAAAACAAAACAAGCAAACCAACACAGACCAAAAACCTGGTTTGCTCCAAGGTTGAATGGCTACAAGAGATGTCTCCGGACCCTTTCAGCCTCACGTGCCCACAGGCAGGGCTGTCTCCTGCTTCCCTACAATGGTGCCCCTGAATGGAGTTCTCAGGTTCTCAGGACACTCTGTGGAGCGGGCTGGTAGAGCAAAACCCTAAGGGGACAGCCCACGGGCAGCTCCCAAGAGCCCAGCTCCCATCCCAGGTTGCCTGCCAGGCCTCTCAGAGCGTTGTTAGCATGGAGAAGCAGCTCTGAAGCCTTTATTCAAGAACCTGGCTTAGGCTCCCAGCCACTGGTTATTAGGAGAGCTTTAAAACAGCAAAGTGGGAGCGCATGGTGGCATAGTCAGTTGAGTACCCGACTCTTGGTTTCGGCTTGGGTCCTGATCTTAGGGTGGTGAGATCAAGGCCTGCCTCAGATTCTGTGCTCAGCGGGAGTCAGCTTGGGACGCTCTCTCCCTCGCCCTACCCCCCCCCACCACCGCACATGCACTCTCTCTCTCAATCTCTCTCTCTGTAAATAAATCTTTAAAAAAAACCAAAAACCAGTAAAGTGGGCAATGTGAGAAATTATGTAAAAGCTGTGTGAACCTGAGCACTCAAGAATGCATGTGCTTAAGCCACCTGGCCTGCCCTACTAGGGTTTGACTCACAAAAAGCTGGTGCAGAAGCCCACAGACGCATTCTGCCCAGTGCTTGCCTGTGTGCACACATGCCCTGCTATCTTAGTGGAGCCCCCCAAACTCTGAACAGCTACTGTAAAAGTAAAAAAGGTGCATAAGATAAAAAAGAGAAGGAAAACATGGGGATGGTACAGAAGATGCTAAAGATGAAAAATACAAATCTCACTTTCCTGGCTCTGAATCCAGAGATGCCCACTCTTGATAGTTTTACTTTCCCTTCTAGAAATTCTCCATAAATGCAAACATATATATCCTACACACAGAAGGCCCATGGAGGCCTTTCGGAAACCTATCACTGACATCCTGCTGTACTCACTTCCCCTGCACCTTGCTGTCTCATAGAACAATGCATCTTGGATGTTTTTCTGTAGTGGTGTATATGGAGCTACCTCTCATTTTGGTGGCTACATGATGTGCCATTAAATGGGTGTACTTTGGTGTAGCTGACTAGTCTGTTGATGGACATTTTGCCAGCACTGTTAGGAGGATCCTCCTTATGCACATAACCCTTAAGACCTATCACTAGTGGTGGGTTGCTGGGTGGAACAATGTGGGAACATTATGATAGATGGTGGGTAATTCCCCTCCAGAAAGTCTGCGTGAGCATATGACCCTTGAAGTGGCGTAGGTTAGTGGTTCCTCACAGCCTCACCAGTTCTGGGTAGTACCAAATCTGTGATAGGGAGGGCCTGGATTTCTCAAAATTTACTCAAAACTGTTCTCCTTGCTAGGGTACTGCGCTCAACAGATCCTGACCGCTTCCAGGTAATGTTCTGCTACTTTGAAGATAAAGCTATTCAGAAGGACAAGTCTGGTAAGTTTATTGTTGTGGTACTCTGATGATGAAATGAGTTTTAATAGTCTAAAAAGGAATACCACTCCCAGTTTCCTGTCTACATGAAGAAAACAGTTTTATGAAGTTACACGCTACATTGGAAAGACCAGTATAAAATATATAACCTTATAACCATATAACCTTAAGGAGCATCACTCTTGTCCACCCTCAATGCTTGAGTATACTCCAGCCCCCAAATTTCAGTCTCTAATACTATCCCATGCTGAAGGGATCCTGGGCTCCTCACATAGTCATTAATGGACCTAAAGCATCTTGTTGTGGTCAGGGAGCAGTCATGCTTTTTAAATGTCCAGAGCAGGCTAGGAGGACCAAGAACCAATTTCAAAGGGCTCCCAGTGGACAGAGTATCATAATTTGAACATGAATACATATTATTATTTTGCTTAAAAGAAGGGCAAATAAACTGGGATAATGTGTATATCCAGATACACTAAGATATATATATATAATCTCCATATTTTAGCAAAGCAACAGATATAATGTGTAATATGTAGCAATAATAGGTAATATATAGGATATACGTATTTATATATATGTTTGTTTTTTCCACTAAGTATTTGTGAAGTAGAGACAGGTAGTTGTTTTCTTGTATAATCAGGAAAGAGGAAACATGAGGAAAGAGCCACACAGTCCAGGAAGAGGCCTGGCACCTGCAATAAAGTCACGCCTGGCCTCTAAGAGTGATCAGGTAGAAAGGGTGCCGCCCAGCAGGTGATGGGGCAGAGGCATTCCATAGAGTAGCCAGTTAATGGTACTCTGTTAAGCTGAAAGTAGCTGTTAGAGAGCTCACTGTGGGGACAGCCCCAGACCTTCTGTGAGGGGCTCCATGCCTCACTAGTCATGCTGGCCATAAGGAGACCCCACTCAGGACCATGAACGCTTCCAGTGGCGCATCAGACCCTGCCAGAATGTCAGGGCAGCGGGTCAGGACCCGATGGCCACACCCAATTTAAGGACTGCATCGTTTCTGGGGAGGTTTCAGAATAAGGAAATCTGTATGAAACGCAAAGACTTGCAAGTCCGATGATGCAGATGTCCTCAGAGTGCACAGAGGGTCTCAGCTGCAACCAGTCCTAAAAGCACCAGACTCCTGGGAAAACAAATAAATGAAACTCTACAGTGGTATAAAAATATTAGAGTTACTGAAATTCTAGTGAGGCAAACCTAAGATAAGAATAGGAATAAAAATAAGGAGAGTTATTAAAATTGAGACTGCAATGAAAAAAATTAAGCACATAGTATAGTCCTTGTTTGACCAGTTTTAGTATAAGGACGCTGATGGGTTTTAAGCATCATCTGTTGGTCTGTGTGTTGATTTTTAAAGTGTTTATTTTTTTTTATAAAGATTTTTATTTATTTATTCATGAGAGACAGAGAGAGAGAGAGGCAGAGGGAGAAGCAGGCTCCCAAGGAGCAGAGAGCCCGATGCGGGACTCGATCCCAGGACCCTGGGATCATGACCTGAGCCGAAGGCAGACGCTTAACCATCTGAGCCACCCAGGCGCCCCATGATTTTTAAAGTGTTTAAAATTTAAGAGACTCTGAAATATTAGACCCATGTTTTATTTAAATGCTTAGAAAAATTTGATCAATTTTGTAATTGTACTTAAATATTTGAGGGAATTGAGTGTGCTAGATCATGAGTTTTGATTGATTAACTGTGTGGGTAAATATTTCAAGGAATGCTAATTGAGAATTCTTAAAATCAATAAATTTATTATTAATTACAGTTAGTAGTGAGGAGTCTTTTCCATGTTTAGAAGCCATTGGCACACTGAAGAATCTATCAATTTGTTCTTGCCAATTCAGAATTAATCCCCAGATAATTCTGGTACCGTTTTTTCTGTTGTTGAAAAATCAGTCCTTGTCTTTTTTAAAATCACCCCAAGGATTCTGAGGTGCTGTCTCATGTAAGACCTTTGTCCAATAAGTCCTTTACAGAACCCTTCACACTACTGCACGACAGTCAGGAAATTGAGTGGGTGAATTTATTTTTGTGGGGTTGACAAGGAAAGACAGTGTAAGGGTTCTGCAAGCTCCCCCTGCTGGCAGTGTGGGGAAGGGTTGGACGAGGAGGAGCCCTTTAGAGGCCAGGGTGGAAGATGCAGGCAGCCAGTTTGTATGCCAGGAAACCTCTTCCACTGGGGTGCAGAATACAGGAGAGGAGCCCCATGCTCAGAGGGTCCCACACACATGCCCCAGGACCACTTGGGAATATAGTAGAGACACTGTTAACCTCTGGCTGAGCTGTTCATTGATTTGCTCCTCTCGTCTATCCACCCACTGTCTATTTAACAGCTATTTTGTGCTAGACAGTTGGGTCACACCTGAGTTTCTTTGGTTCAAGGAGGGGGAGGGTAAGCGACAAAAAAATTGACTGCCAACCCCTAGGGGCCTAAGAACCTGCCACATTTTGCCTGCCTTCTAATGAGAATATCTGTAGACAGAATCAGTTACCTTTCTGAAGCTAAAATGTCATTCTCTTCTGAGCTCTGTTTTTCTGTTGCTGTGTCATAAGAGGAAATTAAATTGTGGAAAACAGTATGGAGGTTCCTCACAAAGTTAAAAATAGAGCTACTCTACAATCCAGCAATTGTGCTACTAGGTATTTATCCAAAGGATACAGACATAGTGATTCTAAAGGGCACATGCACCCCAATGTTTATAGCAGCAATGTTCACAATAGCCAAAATATAGAAAGAGCTCAGATATCCATTGACAGATGAATGGATGAAGAAGATGTGGTGTATCTACAATGGAATATTACTCAGCCATCAAAAAGAATAAAATCTTGGGCGCCTGGGTGGCTCAGTTGGTTAAGCGACTGCCCTCGGCTCAGGTCATGATCCCGGAGTCCCAGGATTGAGTCCCGCATTGGGCTCCCAGCTCAGCGGGGAGTCTGCTTCTCCCTCTGATCGTCTTCCCTCTCGTGTTCTCTCTCTCTCAAGTAAATAAATAAAATCTTTAAAAAAAAAAAAAAGAATCTTACCATTTGCAATGACGTGGATGGAACTAGAGGGTATTATGGTAAGCAAAATAAGTCGGGGAAAGACAAATGCCATATGATTTTATTCATATGTGGAATTTAAGAAACAAAACAGTTAAACATAGGGGAAGGGACAGTAAAGTAAAATAAGTTAATGGGAGACGGTAAAGTAAAATAAGTTAATGGGAGACAAACCATAAGAGACAATGAAACTCTAGGAAACAAACTGAGGGTTGCTGGAGGGGAGGTGGGTGGAGGGGTGGGGTAATTGGGTGATGGACATTAAGGAGGGCACTTGATGGGGTGCCTGGGTGGCTCAGTCGTTTAAGCGGCTGCCTTCAGCTCAGGTCATGATCTCAGGGTCCTGGGATCGAGCCCCACATAGGGCTCCGTGCTCAGCAGGAAGCCTGCTTCTCCCTCTCCCACTCCCCCTGCTTGGGTTCCCTCTCTCACTGTGTCTCTCTCTGTCAAATAAATAAAATCTTAAAAAAAAGGAGGGCACTTGATGTAATGAGCACTGGGTGTTACATGCCCCTGATGAATCACTAAATTCTACCTCGGAAACTAATAATACACTATATGTTAACAAAATTGAATTTAAATAAAAGTAAATTTTTTAAAAAGAGGAACTTAAATTGCCCTGGGGACTGATGTACACTTTACCGATACTTAATTTTCACAGTACGTTGTACTCTTCACACGATTTCCAAATGGGATGTTTTTGTCCTGAGTATGGTACCTAGGGTTAAGCTGATAAATGTGTACCTACTGAGTGTACTTTCCTCTTCCTTTTCTCTCCTAAAACATGGGAGATGGGAAGGAGATGTCTTTGGAGATTTGTTATTGATGAGTTTTCAGAACCAAGGAGGAGAGAGGTTATAAGAAGCATCTAGCAGCCCCCAAAGGGGATTGCTAGCACCTCCTCTGTGTAGGTGTGAGCCAAGCCTCCATGTGTTCCTGCCCTGTAGCCTGCTGACTGTCTAGTCAATCAGTACAGACTAAGACCGAGGTAATCTCAAGCTAACTTTAAGCACAAAAAGGAAAGTGGCTGTTTTTAAGTAAAAATCTCCATAGAGGCTACTGCGTGATCATCATTGGCATCTGACCCCTATCTGATGGTTTTTTATTAGGAACTTACAGTTTCAGTTTCCTAAGAGCTACATGAAAAGATATTACACTAAACACACCCCCAGAACAAGATTTCATCCACCAAACCCAACTTCTTAGAGATCAGCCTCTCCCTGCTGGGGCATTAGGTCACACTAATCACTTTCCAGGTCTGAGAGCTTCGGGCGCCCATTTATCCTCATGACAAACACATATGTGATGCCTCTTTATGTTCAGCCTCTGGCTGGGCCTGGGCACAGAGGTGCAGTGCCTGCCTAGTGTTTCGCCCTGCTGACCTTGCAGCCCTGTCATTTAGCCACCCCAAAGATGCTGCATAAATGGGACAGCACTAGAGGGCGAGCGGCATTTAATGACATCGGCACTGTGATGTTTGCATCCCGCTGTTGCTTTTTAAAATCTGCTTTGCACCCTGGAAGCCACAACCACATCCGGTGCTTGTATCTTGGTTTCTAAACACCATTCTGCAGTAAAGGGAGCCAAGGCTCCAGGGAAAATACAAGATGAGCCTAGGACAGCTCACAGTGCCAGAAAGGAAGGTCTTGTGAAGGGAAAAAAAGAAAAAGGAGAGGAAGAAGAAGAAAAGGAAAGGAAAGGCCTGTGGGCATGTCACAAGGACACAAGAGCCTGCCTGAAAGAGCTCCTAATGGCCAAAGCTGGAACAATTTGAGCAACAAAATAACCGACAGTATTGGATTATAACCCAGTGAAAGAAAGAAGTATCCATGAGTCCATGCTGATTAGATGATTGAACAAATGAAACATGGGGAAGAAGGGACAGACCTTCCTTACAGAATTCCAGTAAGTGAGACCAGAGTACCTGCTGCAGGCAGAGCCCACTGGCAGGTGCGAAAGCCAGTGGGCAACATCTTAGAGAGAAATGACATGTCTGCATAACCTCAAAGTATCTTCCCCAGAGCATTTCCCAGTGACTGTGGTGTTTTTGACTTACACCCACATTCTCTTCAGGAGCTGCTGCTTAATTCCCCTCCCCAAGTGGGGGCTGGACGCAGTGACTCCCTTCTGAAGAGTAGAGCATGGAAAGGGAGAAATAGTAACTGGACAGTGGGAAACCTGGCACACACCACTGTACCTGAGTGATCAAGGTCAGCCTCGCCAGTGGTAGGAGATACTGATTTCACACCCCCCTACACCCCACCATACGACAAGAAGGCCACTTCACCTCTGTGGGATTGCCCTAAAATCCTGTAACCTTAGTCTAATCATGAGCAAGCATCAAACACACCTAAATTGAGGGACATCCTACAAAATGCCTGTGCTCTTCAGAAGTGTCAAGGTCATGAAAGGTAAGAACAGACCGAGGAATCAACACAGATTGTAGGAGATTAAGGAGACCTGATTGGCAATGCCTCATTGGATCCTGGGACAGAAAAGGGACATTAGTGGGAAAACGGGAAATCCAAATAAAGCCTGAAATTTAGGTAAGAGTATTATATCACTGACGGCTTCTTAGTTTTGACAAAAGAGCTGCTAAAGTCAGGAGAAGCTGGGTGCAGAGTATGTGGGAACTCTGTGCTCTCTCTGCCACTCCTCTGTTAGTCCAAAATCTTTTCCAAACAAAATATTGAAAATAGCTGGGATTGGTCCCTTTCCCTTGATGCTCCTGACCTGTGGAAACCTCCTCCTCATTTCAGGGATGATGCAGTGTGTGATTGCTGTCGCAGACAAAGTATTTGATGCCTTCCTGAACATGATGGCAGATAAAGTAAGCCTTGTCGGAGCGTGAGTGTTTGTCTGCCCAAGGCACATGGAGGGCACCTCTTGTACCTGTCTCTTCTGAATCTCCAGGCTAAGACCAAGGAGAATGAAGAGGAGCTCGAGCGGCACGCACAGTTTCTATTGGTGAACTTCAACCACATTCACAAGAGGATACGGAGGGTGGCAGACAAGTATCTGTCTGGTCTGGTGGATAAGTAAGCTCATTTTCCTTCTAATGCTGTGTGTGTGTGTGTGTGTGTAAACTTCTTGATTTGGAATGTAGGGAAGAATCATCCAATCATCCTTACACTATCAGGGCAGAAAAGTTGGAGTCAGAATTTAAACTCTCAAATGGCAATGCAGCCTCCCTCAGAATGTCATGGAATTTGCTACAAGGTCTGAAATTTGGTCCTGAAACCTCTACTTCACTTATTCTGAGCTATTGATGTTACTTACTGACAGGGGGTGTCACCTGCCTGTGGCTCTGCATCCCACCCTCCCCTGCTGCAGGACTTCTCTGGGCTTGCTCTGGGTAGCTCACGGCCATCCTATGTGACATCTCCCACCCCAGAGCCTAGCCAGAGGTCCCTGGTCAAATCAGTGTCTTCCAGCCTCCTCAGAGAGGAAGGAGAGCCCCCACGGATCCTTTTCCACTCCAGGCTCTCTGTGCTGGAAGCCAAAGCAGATTCTCATGGGACACACCCCCACATGGATGAGAACCCTCAAAGGTGGGCTGGGCCAGCCTGTCTGCAGTATAAAGGCTGGAGGCAGCAAACAGCCATGCTGGGCCTGCCCACACATCGCTGCAAGCATCCAGGAGTTCTGGAGCCTGCTGCAGGTGCTGTGTGCCTGGTCTAGGCAGGGCCAGAAAGCAAGTGCAACACACGTATGACATGTGTCTGAGCTGGACCTCCTAAGCAATGGGCCATGATGAGTCACAGCTGTGCAGAGTTGGCTCCCCTCAATGCTGACCACCACATTTAGGAGCAGCTTCTTCTCTTTGCCCCAGGGTATCCTGCAATACTACCATTTTATATTTGTGCCATCATGTGAAAATATTAGGGAGGCCTGGTCAAAAACAAGGAGGGTCACTTTGGGGAGTGAGGGAGCGTGGCCTGACCAGTGCATAACCAAGACAATCGGTGTGTGGTTGAGAGCAGGTCACGTGGGGTCATGCTTGGGCCCTGAAGAGTGGGACTGGCAGGAGCCTGGGGGGCTGTTTCTGACTGAGTGCCCTGCCTAGGAGGCCTCCTGACCTCCTCTGACCCTCAGCTGGGCAGCAGGAGGTGGGGCTCCCACCTCACCCCACCCCACCCCTTGAGGTGGCACTTTAAGGAACTGAGATTCCTTGAAGATTTGGCTCCTGGACCGAGACGTGACTATTGGTGTAGGTTTCCCCACTTGCTCTGGAGCGGGACAGTGCTGAAGACCATGCTGGACATCCTCCAGACCCTGTCACTCTCGCTGAGTGCTGTGAGTATCCCTGCCTTAAGCCTGAGCCTAATTTATGCTACAAGTGGCCACATCGGGGGTGGGGCCCCAGATCCCACCCTGGCCTTTCCCAGTGAGCTGCAGCAAGGTTGGAAGTCCGTCACAAACCGGACAAGTGTGGGGAAAGGAGGCAAACACTCTGCTGCCCAGGGGCGCCTGGGTGGCTCAGTTGTTTAAGCGACTGCCTTCGGCTCAGGTCATGATCCTGGAGTCCCTGGATCGAGTCCCGCATCGGGCTCCCTGCTCGGCAGGGAGTCTGCTTCTCCCTCTGACCCTCCCCCCTCTCATGTGCTCTCTCTCTCATTCTCTCTGCCAAATAAATAAATAAAAAATCTTTAAAAAAAAAAAAAAACCACTCTGCTGCCCAGTATGAGCTGGAGGCCCAGCTCAGCAGAGGCAGCCTAGGGAAGGCGGTTTGGAAGAGGGAGCCTTGTTGTGTTTTCAGGACATTCACAAGGATCAGCCTTACTACGACATCCCTGATGCCCCCTATCGGATCACTGTTCCTGACACCTGTGAAGCCCGGGAGGTAGGCTGGCAGCCGTCCCCTTATTAAGGGCCGTTTTCATTGCCCTCTCGAGTTGTCAGGGCCGGCGTGTTGCACATGTTGTGTCATTCGGTCCCCAGCAGTTTGAGGTGTGAGCACTGTGGGCCTGGGCCCACAGGTAAGAAAGGCTCAGCTGTCAGGGTCACACAGTACGAGCGGGGTGCTGACTCAGTCCCAGGTTGGTCTGTCTGCCAGGCCCACTCCTGCCCCTCAGCCGTGCTGACTCTAAGCCCTTTCTTGGTTCAGCTGCCTGTCAGTTTATAGTGTCTCCAAGCTGCATGAGCAAGCATGACTGTCAGATGAACTTCACTGCTGTGAGGTGTGCAGACTATCTGTCATTGTGGTAGTTGAGTAACATGACTTCAGCTTTGTGTGGCACTGTGGGAAATAGATGGAATGAGTAGCTCCGGGTAAGGAGGATGTGCTGTGCGAGGTCTGACTCGGAGCTCTCACTGTGGCAGATTGAAGCTCAGCTCAGACCTGGGGCCGGGTCATGTCCCAGCCTTGGGGCCTCCAGCCAGACCAGCTGCCAGCAGGGAGTCTTCCACGCCCCGCAGCAGCTGTGTGAGGCACTGTGAGTGTGGGCCCTGCCACCTTACGCCAGGATTGTAGACCAGGATGTCTGTACCCTGTACCCAGAGCCTCGGGGTTGGAACATGGTCACTGTAATCATTTGCTAGGGTTGCCATGATTAAGTGCCACAGACTGAGTCGCTTAAACAACAGAAATTTATTTTTTCACAGTTCTGGGGGCTGAAAGTGTGAAATCAAGGTGTTGCCAGGGTTGGTTTGTTCAGAAGCTTCTTTCCTTGGCTTTTAGATGTCTGTCGTGTTCTTGTGTCCTCACGTCTTCCCTCTGTGCCTGTGTCCTAATCTCCTCCTCTTTGGAGGACACCAGTCAGATTGAATTAGGACCCAGCCATATGATAACATTTTACCATAGTCACCTCTTTAAAGGCTCCATCTCCAAATACTGTCACATTCTGAGGTACTGGGGGCTAGGGATTCAACACATGGGTTTTAGGGGGGATGCACTTCAGCCCCCAGCAGTCGCTAACTACAGTCTGTAGCTGGCATCCTCTGACGGCCCAAATACACTGACCTCGGCTTCATTACCCCCTCTTCCAGAGCATCGTGAAGGACTTTGCCGCGCGCTGTGGAATGATCCTACAGGAGGCGATGAAGTGGGCACCTACAGTCACCAAGTCCCACTTACAGGTACTTTCTTGAAATCACCAAAAAGCAATTTTGTTATACTCCTTCCAGGGATCCAGAGAGCTTTCACAGACATAGCAAACTCGAAATAGAAACAGCGCTAGTGTAATAAACAGAGACCAAAAACATTAGTCTAGTGCCTGAGAATAACAGAAGCCTCAGAGGCTGCTCTTTGGTGGGAATTCCTTGGGGGGTAAGGGTGCTGGTCGTGGGTGAGGGGGGCAGATGCAGTGGGATCAGTGGGCAGGCAGGCCCCGGGAACCTGACCACTCACACCAGGTAGGTGCCGGGTTTATGGCAGGACTTGGGGCTGCTTGCAAGACGGGCACGGGTGATGTGGTGTGTGGGGAGGCCTGGCAGTCCAGCAGCAGCACCTCTGCCGAATGCCGGAGCTGGAGTGAGGCTGCTGTCCCAGTAGAGCCCTATCCAGGCTGCACATGGAGTTGCACATGAGCCTTTTCAGACCAAAGCACTGGCTTGTGAACACGAATGACTGCAAGGTGAGCCATTGTTCTGGTCAAGCAGAGATGGACCAAAAATACCACAATATGTGAGAGGAAAAAGTCACCTCAAAAGGGATCAAAGATAAGAAAAATCCCACTAGAAGAAATCTGGCTTAATAAAGAGAAGGTGCAACGAGAGGGGCGTGTGAAGTTGACCTCAGCAACACTTGTCAGGATAAAGCTAGCTGCAGGGGCGCCTGGGTGGCTCAGTCGTTAAGCGTCTGCCTTCGGCTCAGGTCGTGGTCCCAGGGTCCTGGGATCGAGCCCCACATCGGGTTCCCTGCTCCGCGGGAAGCCTGCT